GTATCCCCCAGCCACTCTCCATTGCTGATGACAACAAGAGCATGGGGGTGTTGACCTGTTTGATCAACACATTGCGGCTTACCGTACACTGAGGCGATGCAAAAAGTATTGGAAAAGTCTGTTCTTGGACATGTTGGATATTGCAGCCACCAACAGCTATCGCATCTTCGAACTATACCGTGCCGATCATCCGGGTGCAATAGAACGCCGACGACACCACCGTCACACCAGCTTCCGTGCGAACTTGATCCGGCAGCTTGCAAATCTCGACATCGGTGCTCCACCGCCAAAGCGCCGATACTCTGCACCTCCACAGGCACCTACTGCAGCTGAAGTTGCTCTCATGCATGTGCCCAAGCACTCACCAGATCTGAAGCGCAACTGTGTCAACTGCTACGAGTTGGAAAAAGCTGAGCGGCGATGCGTCACCTACTGTGCAGCCTGCGACCGGTTTCTGCATGTCTCTGCTCGCGACTGCTTCTCTCAGTACCACCAGAGACACTTTGCAGTATAAATCAGGTGAGTATGTGTTTGGCTGTTCGAAAATACAGCTCAAACTGGACAGTCAGAAATTTATCGTATATTTTGTCGAACGCTTGACTTCTAACAACCAAATGTGCAACTTTTCAGATATTGTTGGACTTGATGTGTGTGTTTTTGACTTCGGTATTGTCATACCTTTCCGAAAATATATAGGTTTGTATTTACAAATATCAATGGTTCTAAAGTTATGGCGGATGTTCCGCGGCTCACTCAAATACCGGATTAGCTGTGGCAAGTGAAAGCCCAAAGGGTTAAAGACAAAGGTCTACTGACACCTGAGAGACAGCAAATGGTTCTGGGCAACATATTCCCTGTAATGTTTCAAGCTCGTCGCTTGCCGGACCCGCTAATCCGCGTACCTGGCCTTGCTCAGAGTGCTCAGCTGTGTTTTGCATACATGTACATGTACATGGCACATCAGTCCAAACACTGATAATTTACAATCTCTTTTTATCTTGTTTTTATTTTTCTAAACACCTACCGGTACTTTTACCCATTCTACTTCCCCATAGCTAGATCTAGCTTCACTTTACATTTCTGTTTGTTTTCCTGGTGCGTGCTTGTGGCATTGAAGCCGAGACCTTTGGTCGGTGGAGCCGAATTGAAGGTCACTTACACCGTCTCCGACATGTTGATATAAAGTGGGGCAAGAAATAAAAGGAGAAGGAAGGCATGCAGACGTCTTAGCTTCCGTGCTTCTGTTCTTTGCTCGCGAAACCAGTTTGTGCAGCTAGTGCACCTAAACCCTACGTGAGGGTTCTTGTATGGAAATCCTGTATTCACATCTAGAATGATCGAGGTTTTGTATGCACAGCCTACTATTCACGAGGATGGAGCCTGTGCTGACCTAGCCTGCAGCAATGTAAGATACAATATACATCTAGCTCGAAATACTTTTCTATTTTCAGCTCATGCGCCTGAAGTCCACCTGTAGACTCCTCGCGAAGTCGTTCCGAGTTTTAGTACTTCGACATACTAACCCTTCATACGTGTAATGGATGGATCATAGTAATCATTGTTCCGTCTGGACCCGCTCAGGTGAAAGATTCTGGTATGATGGCGTCTCTCAAGAATATAACAAGCAATGGGAGCGTGACCGATTTTGAGAACAATAGACACAACACCCTGGGGCAAAGACCTGCACACATTATAGTCGTGAGGAGGCCGTAAATGAACATTTCCGGTTAAACACGGAACAGGATTATCCTGGTTCATAACACTCAATGTTACTGTGCTTTACCTCATTCTTGATGTTACACTCGGCGCCTCCAGCGATCAGGGCTTGACACACATCCAGGTTACCACCATTGGCGGCACCGTACAGACATACATGTACACTTATACCTCGGTTATCCTCGATCATTCTAGATGTGAATACAAAATTTCCAAAGTTACGAGCATTTCAGGCTACCGGGCAAACTTTGGGAAAGTTTCAGTGGAAATGTTACTACTCTTTTGGCAATTTTTGTGGAAATAGTGGCGACATATGCCATATTTATGGCCATTCCCCGTCAAAATGAATTTGATTCGGGGTAACGGACATTTCGAAGTTACGGGCAGTAAACAAGTTACGGGCAGTAAACAAGTTATGAATTTATTTCATATTGTCGGATCACTGTGTCGTTGTACAAATTGGATCAACCCCCATGATGCGGTATGAATGCGGCTTGACGTACACATATGCAAGTGCAGTGATGTGATCGGAACTGGTCCACTCCGGTCCGTCCGCATCAACAATGAGAGGAATGTCCTTGTTGCGTCTGTCTCCACTTGTATACTTTGTCCACCATTCTTTGTCCTTGAGTGAAGCTATGACGACTACTGGCCTCTTTAGGTTCTAGGGTCACCTTAGGATATGGACGGCTATGGTAACAAAGCGGTGGAAAGCTTGTTTGAGTAGAAGATCGTTCGGGTATTTTCTCCAGGAACGCCAACGCTTGTCTTTTTCCCTCGTAGCAGCTGTACATTTCGGGTCCACCATTTTGGATCACTCGGCCTCGTGGTATGTTCCTTAGATGGGACAAACTTGGCTATTGCACCTCTGATGGTGGTGGTTGCCCGCTCATAGGAGGTGTATGCGTCATCACTCATCAGTTATGATGAGAGTTGTGAAGGAAAGCTTGGAGGCGATGCCAGTCCGCGCTCTTGTAGCGCCAGACAGTTCACGTTGCTGCAGGTCCATCGCAAGGTAATATGCATACAAAGTCGGATAGCATCGGATAGCACCATAACGTGTTGTCAATACTGGAGAGTTGAAGGTAGACATCACGAAATCAAGGGTGTTGTCGCCATGAGTAGGAGTCCGAGCATGCTGCATAAGAAGGTGCACGGCACAAGTGTCCTCAAGGGCTTTGCCCGCCGGTGTGGTATTAGAGATGTTAAGCCAGGCACGGTTGTGAACGTTAAAGTCCCCAGCAAGAATGAGACTAGAGCCGTGTTGACGGGCCAAAGGAAGGATTTCGTCGAGATGATGGATAAGCGAATTGCTGTTGCTCTTACCGCACTCAGCCAGTAAGGCCATTGCTCTGTCTTCTTCACTAGTAGGATCAGAGTGGGCCAGAGACGTGGTGGGGTTAGGCTGCTGTGGGAGGGGGTGGTGGCTCCTCTCTCTGACCCCTCGGCCCAGCTGCTGTCTGGGGACAGAGCTAGAGTTCAATCGGGCTCACCTCACCCTACCGCCGAGGCAGGTTCCGATTCCCCGGAAGCATCCCTTTCCCCATCCGATCCTCCTACAGCAGCTGAATACGAGAACGGTTTGTCTAGCCCCACACCACTATACACCACTAGCACTGGCAAGCTGGCGGTTGGTTGTCGTACCAGAGGGAGAATGTTGGTCCAATAAGCTTATACTTTGCCTTTTGTCCTGCTACTCTTTCCGCATCCGACCCTCCTACAGCAGATGAGTCCTGTTTGTCTGAACCCACGCCACTGGACAGTTGGCGGCTGGCTGTTGGACCCCGACACCATGGATTTCTTTGTACTCCGTGTGTGGGTCAGGCGATTTGGACAGGCCTTTGCCTCATGTCCGCCTTTCTGACATCGAAAACATAACATGTTTGTTCTTCACCTTGGTACCAACCCCCTACCGTGGTCATACTGGAACCTATACGCACAGCAGAATGGATGCTCTTCTTCAGGCTCATTTTGCATGGCAGGTTCCCGTTTCGATTGAAAATCACCATGCTATGCGATTTTTCTTGTTATTCGGCCACAAATATCTTCAAATGCCCCAAAACACTTGCAACTGCTCCATCGCGCAAATGCAATGGGCATCCAAATACTGATACTGTGATTACTTCACTGCTGCTTTCAGTAACAGGTACATCCTTACGGATTATTGACAAGCCGGAGGATACAAGCCGGCCGCGTGCGGCTCCACAGGACAGTGCTACGAGGCACCAGCTAACCTCTCGGGCACTAACAAGCCATAAGGCCCTCCCTGCCATGCACTAACCTATAATTATTATCCACTGGTTTGAGGGAAAGACGCAAACGGGAAAAGTCCGAAGAATAAATTGACTATCACCACCAGGACTCGGATCAAGGACCGTAGCTTGTAGCCAGGGATGCTCTAACCACTGAGGTGTGGTGCAGTTCTCATCCCAGCAGAGACCGTTCAACATCCTCTTCAGACTTCGTCACTCACACTTCCTGTGAATCCACACAGGCGGGTGTGACGCTGCCCTCAATGTAACCCACATACGTCGTGTACAAAACTTGCACGCGGGAATCCCCAAGTCATCAAATATTCACTGGTATGAGGGAAAGACGAAAATGGGAAAAATCTGAAGAAAAAATTGACTGTCACCACCAGGACTCGAGCCAGGCCCCTCATATGTAGCCAGCGATTTCATTATCCAAAATCACTTTTGGATAATAAAATTCTTTTTAAAATTCCTTTAACCCTTAGGTGCCGGTAGGTCGATTTCAGCCTTTGCTGACAGTGCATACTAAAATCGAGCACAGAGCCAGTCACGTACATCGCAGGTGCCTGATTTTTGTACAGAGCCCCTTCAGTAGCTGGCCTGTAGATAGCAATAGAGAAAGTAGGGGGGTTGCATTTGAAAAAGTCGAGTCGTGATCAACGACAGTCGCGCAGATCAGCAGAAGTCAATCGAGCGTGGCAGCCTACGCACGCGTCCCGCAACTTGAACAAAACGTTGCTGTTTCGCTTCGTTTTCGACTAGTACAGTTCATGGCTACTACAGCTGACCTCCGTCATGGATGCTGCAGGAGTGCTTGAGTTGTTTGAAGAGCTGGAGGCCGATGATGCCCCTGTAGAAGAAGAATCAGAAGACGACGATGGTGAATAATCTGACGCTCTTTTCTCTGACGGAAACCTGCCGTCATCAGATGAGGAAGACTGACTCAACGATGATTTGGTTTTCGGTGAATTTCTTGAGAACGGCAACTCTTCAGATGAGGACAAAACTTCCGACGATGAGCTTCAAGAAGCTTTAGGGCGAGGGCAAGCGCAGCCAGTTCGTGGACGTGCTCCGCTCGCGCTGCGCGGAGGAATTGCTCACGGCGCTGGTCGAGCTCAGCCAGCTGATGGAACAGCTGATCGTGGCGTGCGTGGCGCGTGTGGCGGAAGCAATGGCGGAGACCGTGGACGAGGTAGTGGATTTGGCGTGCTGAGTGGTTTTGGCGACCAAGATGTTCATGGACCAGCACAGTACCCTGACCCTATTGTAGATTTTTCTGACTTGAAAATTCAGAAATCGGATTTTGCTGTGTCTTGCCATTCAGAATACATACTTTTGTCGCTACATTATCTAAACGGTTGCGAAGATATAGGCTTTCCAAAAAATTGAGCCAAAAGTACGAAAAATCTAAAATTCAGTCAGGCACCAAAGGGTTAACTCGCTGTTGTCTGGCCATGTCTGCATCAATTATAATTCTTTACACACGCACCCAACGGCCTGGGAGCCTTGGGTGTTGCCAGTAGGTCCCAGCGGATAATGCTAGCATTATATCCAGCATATTTAGCACTTTCTGCAAACTAGCATCGTGCTAGCATAATCTGGCAAGTTTTGAAGAGAACTAGCATATTCCCATTGGATAGGCGGATTTTTTTCGATTCATTTGAGGGACTCAGAAAGTCGACAGCCAACTGTTACATGGCTAAAAATTACAATGTTACTTGTATCAGAGTGTGGATAATGTTGGCTTGGCTGTGTGGTATTGTAGCGAGAAGCAGTGGCCCCTCGTACTGTGCCTTGTTTTAATGTGTATCTCATTTGAATTTTTGACCTTGCCAAAAATAACAGGAACAGAGAATATTTGGATCAAACGTAAATAGTGGGAGAATGAAGTCCTCGGCCCAGGTTATAGAAGCAACCAACTTCGAGAGGAATCGGAAATTCGGCCATGATCGGCTATGATTGGGCGTGACAGACTTTGACTCTTCACCCTTAAGAGTCTTCCCATATATTTACATCAAAGGATAAGCAATACGTCGTACCTTTCTTCGGTCATAACTAGCAGCATTACCATCAGCTGTAAAGCTGCCAGTGCTAGTCTCAGCTGAGCTGGCAATGCGATGTGTTGTAGTGGCTTGGGTGGGTGCACTCAAACAGGTCTGGCTAAGACCAAATGTAGTCTCTGCCGTGGTAGAAGGGCCTGACATTGATGATGGTGATCTATCAGTAGAGGAGCAAGCTAAGGCTGTACCGGGCTGCAGAGTAATAGGTTGTTGTACACCTGCCATAAGTACACAAACACACAGACATGTCCGCATCCACAAATGCGATTTCAGGTTGCTACATTTGTATAAGCGTGCAAACACTCATACATCAAATTGCAAATTGATTTTATTCAAGAATGTTTCCATGGTGAATGGCTGGTGTCATGACACCTCAGTTCATATAGTTGTCGCATCCCTGGCTCACAGCGACCGGACCCCGAAATCACTACGAACGGCGACTGAATATAGACGTGTGGCCTCACGACAAGCCCAACACAACCCAGGGGCCAACCAATATAGCTAGCTTGGTCCAAGTTCAACCCCACACGATCAACAAACAAAGACTGTTAGTTTTACGTCGTGAGTAGTATCAAATCCGAGCTCAAAGTAAACGAAGACAGAGAGCTGAGACCGAGTCTCGACTGCTAGACTAGACTAGACTAGACCAGACTAGACTAGACTAAAAACTGAAGTAAAGGAGAGAATGAGAGCTTCTTTTATAGGGTGCTTCAGAGATATATGGCGTGATCATTGCGAGGTAATTCCAGGAAATAGCAGAACAAGTCAAACCGGAATGTGCGCAGCCAGTCAGCAGAAATGCAGAATATACGTACGGTGATCATTCGAGAAGAAAGAGAAAGAAAGACATCGAGAGAAGAAAGACCAAATTGGGACGTGGGGAGCCCGCTCACCCACGCCAGAGTACAATGTGAGTATATGAGGGTCACGTTGGGGAGCCCGCTCACCCAACGTGCCATAGTTCAGCGGCTTCTTATGGTAAGTTCTGCTGCATTCTTGGTCTTGCTTGCTTGATACTCTGACCTCTCGTGCGGTCACTGCGGTGATGGTTTTGGTTCTTGCACACTTCTCCTGTCTTGCACTTAGCTCTTGTTATACAATGTCATATTAGTCTTGGCTCTTTGCACAAAGCACCGAGGCATCGTGGAAACCTGTAGAACGTCGTAGTGACGTGATTTTGCACAAAGCCTGGAGTCACATTTCCAGGAAGTGAAGCACTTCCAGGAAACGTACAACGCGAGAACCTACCTGACCAGGTTCCGGCCCTGGATCACATGATGTGTCATGCCAATAAGGCATGTCACCTACGTGGGAAAGCGTGTGTCGCTCAACCTACGTGCTAAGCACGTGGGACAAGACACTGGCCAAACCACATTGTACCAAAAGGGTGTGACAGCTCAGCACAGAGCTGCTGACTATGTAGATCCTGCTGTCACAGGACTATCAGGCAGCAGTCGTCACGTTCAGGGACGTGACATAGTCTATTTCTCATTCACCATAAAGCTAACGAGACAGGACGTAGAAAATGTATGGATGGCTGGGGTGACCTGTAGACAGTCTTGCCAGCCGTACAGTATGACATGCAGCAGCTATTGCAATAGCCAACCTAACTCATCGTGAGGCCTAAAGCTCTGGCTCATGATCAGCTGACTCAATGCAAGTCAAAAACTACATGCAGAAATCCAGTCACTTATGCATCAAATGTTGCACCGAAAAGTGTTGGTGGTGCAAAGAGAAACTTGTTGTTTGGAGTGACTGTCTATGCTATCGCATCCAGCAATTTTCAGCTCTACAAATCTTGATGTGTTCCGCATGGAACAGTCCAGCCACATTTACGCTAACGACGAGTCCACAACCGTGACAAGTGACAAAACAATGGACAGTTCTAAAGCTTTCAGATACTGTAATGTTGAATCGAAAAGTCATGCCACTGTTTCAAAAAGCCTGCACTTTTCGTCAATCGAGCACCGTCTGAAATACGCCAAGTGCTAGTTTGCACCAAAAATCCCTATGTGGCAGGTCGCTGGAGTCCAAGCGAGTCAGCATTGAACACCAGTCAGAGCCCTCGCATTACTCTTCTACATTTTGACGACTCTGCTCTCCAGAGATCTGATAATTATATCAGCCCCATGTGCAATAGCTGCTGCTTCATCAGTCGCAAACGCAGCAGTGCTCACTCTTGACAAGCCCGCCCGGCCATTTATTCTGCAGAATACCGAAATTCTCAGCCCAAGACAGAACTCATGAAGGTCGGCCATGGCTGCATCCTCACTCTCACATGGAGTTACGTCGTCGGGGTCACTTGCACCACCTACTATCGGTCGCCAAATCATTTGAAATAGCATTGCCACTATTTGCTTTCACGCACTCCTTTTGACTTACCTCCACACTGTGACGTTGCAGAGGAGGTGTGTCGACCGTCGGGGCCGCATGATGTCATGGTGCCGCATCCAAAATCAATTTTTCAAATGGAAATATCTCAAGAATGCTTTGTCGGAGACATGTGGGACTAACACCCCAAACTCTATGGAAACTGAAATTTAAATATTTACTGGACTTCCATTTTTTAACCCTTTACCGGTCTACCATAAACGTACCGATACTATAGTATCAGTATGTTTGGCCCACATTTCGGGTTTTTTGTTGCTAGGAGACACGGTATGTGTGCGCGTGCGTGGGTGCAAGTAGTATGTGTCGGGCGGGTTCTGGAGTAGGGACATGCCCCAGCCCGAAAAAAATGGGGTACTATTGATACTCCTCTCACATATCTTATTTCCTTTGTTATTGCCGTTTTATGCTGTATAAATGCTAAGTTTTGCCTGTATTTGACTACTGTTCCTCCATTTGGGCTGGCATCAGCACATCGCTCACGAATCGTCTCGAAGTCGCACATCGTCGCTTAATTCGCGCAGTCTTTGCTATTCCCCGTTTGACGCCCTCTCATACTGTCTATGCTATTGCATCCAGCTGCCCTCTCTCTACCAGGCTCAGACTTTCACCATGTAAACTAATTCATAAAATTCGTCTCGGTCTTGCCCCACCTCATGTTTTATCCCAGTTTAACTGGTTTCATCAGTCCTCAGCTACCCGAAACTATCTCTCTCTGCTTCCCTATCTCTCGCACAGCCACTCTTCTGAAGTCCCCTCTATTTTGGTATATACACATTGGTCATTGCTGTCACAGGACTTCAAGACTTGCCAAAGACTTTCCACTTTTGCTACTTTACTTCTCTAACTGGTATTCACTTGTTCTGGGCCACTGTGTAATTCGTATCTCTTGAGTTTTCTTCTTTCTTTTGAATTATCTTCTTTTTTTCTTCTTTCTTATACATGTATGTCTACTACTTTTCTTTTGTTGATTTGGCCGTGGTTGCCTATCACCCCTCTCTCATTCAATATTGGCATTGCTTGCCACGAGATGATGATGCAATAAATAAAATAAATAAATAAAAAATTTCACGGTTCGCGTCAGACTCGGTTTCTCTATATAGAGGCCGATGATGAATGACGAAGACGAGGACGATGATGAATGCAATAAATATAGATACTACCCCATTTTTGGGGTAGTCAGCCTTGAACCCAACAGGGTTAAACCACGTGATGTTGCACTGATGGTTTAATCTGGCCGCCCCTCTCTACAATGAGGCGCTCCACGCCAGTGGATATGAGGAGGAGGTTGAATATAAAAGCGAACAGAAAGAAGGGCGAGGCAAGAAGAGGAGAAACCGCATCCACAAGCGGAATATGTGATTTCAGGGTGCATGCATCTGCATGAGGGTGAAAACACTCATACATCAAATTCCATTGATTAAGAATGCTGACATGATGAATGGCTGGTGCCATGACACCTCAGTACATACCAATTGGGAAATCATTCAAGTCTATTTCTCAATCACCATAAAGCTGATGAAACGGGACGAAGGAACCTGTACGGGTGGCTGGTATGACCTGTAGACGGTCTTACTATCCGTACAGTATGACATGCAGCAGCTATTGCTATAGCCAACCTAACTCATCACGAGGCACCCCTTCGATTGTCAACTAGGCAAAACTCACCTGAATAAGTACAAAGTGCTGGAATAGTTGATTCGGTTTCGGTTGTTCCTAGTTCCAGTGGTTCTAATTGCTGTCCAAGTGGCCATGGATTTGTTGCAGTCGGGCTGAATGGATACACTGCATATCCTGCTGACGCAGCTGCTGCTTTTGTTTCTTCCTTTGTTGGCATGGTCACAGATGGGTCTGTTCTCTCAGCTCTGACCATGACGGGTTCAATGCGCTCAATATCAACACTGGAGAGCATTTCTGGTCATGTGACAAAATGAATACAAAGAACGAAGAAAGAAAACCGCAACAATCATGACAACGTCATTGTAACAGTCCAACTAACTTCAGTAGTCATTCTTGGAATAAGCAATGATCCTTGCCATAATGCATTCTTATATACATGAACAAGCAATGATGGACATAGCACCTAACAGCAGCAGCGTGATAATAGCAGGTGATAAGTGTATCCTATTCCTAGTGTTAGTAGTAACAGTGAATCTGTTACACCATTCCCCCCTCCCAACTGTCAGAACAGTACCAATTCGAAGGAACAGTTATGGTAACTAATGATCATGCATGGATATGTGGAATGCATGGTAGCCGAAAACAACACTGATGAACTCAAGATCCAGTGCATGTCCTCTGCAAATAACGCTTGGCTGGCAGGGAAGCACTATCCTAATCATGCAGAATGCTACATTTCTATTGCAACACGTAGAAACTAGCAATACAACTGTGGCTGCCAATTAAATAGCAATTTTATGAAAAACGGTTCAGGTAGGTTTTCAGCGGAATAATAGCGTTTCCTGCTTCATCCATCAAGTATTCCTCCGGCTCCCAGGTGGCATCTCGGTAGCCCTTCCATTTCACTAGGTACTGCGTGCGCCGTCCTCTCTTCTTGTGCGACAACACCTTTTCGACAATGTACCGCGTATGGCCATCCGCATCGGTTAGGGGTGGAGGTGCCGGCTGAGTACGGCCCGGTATCTCATTGCCATGGTACAGCTTGAGGGCAGCAATATTGAACACTGGATGGGCCCGAATGATTCTTGGAAGAGCTAATCTGTACGCATTCGGGGCCACTTTCTTCTGCACCTTGAACGGCCCATACCACTTGAGCCTTAATTTGTGTGAAGGCCTGTCTCGTTCCTCGGGCGTCAGCAGGAAGTCCCTGAAGACCAACACCTCATCCCCCTCCTTCAGGGCGTCCTTCACCCGTCCTCGATCCGCATACAATGATTGCCGGGCCTGCGCCGCCACGATGGCATCCTGTGCCTCACGTAGTGCCTCTACGCGGCCATCCAGCCATGACAGCGGACCATTCGTGTCCATGCCAGCTCCAGCTTTCTGCTTCGTCAATAAGCTCGAGGGAGTAACTGGATGGCATCCATGGTTGAGGAAAAATGGCGTGTTACCTGTTGACGCTTGATCGGCATTGTTGATCGCAAACTCACATAGCGATAGGAGTTCATCCCAATTGTTTTGCCTATGGTTGACGAAAGCTCTTAGCGTATCCTCAATGACACGGTTCACACGCTCAGTCATGCCATCTGTCTGCGGGTGGTTGGCCGTGCTCATTTTTAGCTCCACGCCAAGAATACTGAAAACCTCCTTGAAGAACGCCGACGTGAATCGCGGATCTCGATCACAAACTATCGTTTTGCTCAAGCCATGGGCAGCAAACACATGATCCACGTACAATCGGGCTGCCTCCTTAGAGTCAACATGAACAGTCGTCGGGATCAGGTGCACATACTTCGTCAGACGGTCCACAAAGGTAAGAATGGCGCTATGTCCTCGGCAGGTCAGCGGCAGTGCCATGATGAAATTCATGCTGATGTCTGTCCAGGGCTGTTCGGGGACTGGAAGGGACTGCAACAGTCCTGCCTTGGTCTGGCTACCCTTTACGCGTTGGCACCGGTCGCAAGATTTAACGAAGTCCTTCACAGTACTTCTCATGCCTGGCCAATAGAAGTATCTGCTCAGCTTCAGGTAGGTCCTGTCTCTCCCCGGATGGCCGGCCGTCAGGCAATCATGATTCTGTTCGAGCAGTTGCAGCCGCACCGGACCGCGAGGAATGCAGAGGCGAGCATCGCCCGATGTTACTAGGTACAGCCGCCGGTCCACACTGTTCCAGACGTATCGCTCATGCATGGCGTCTTCGCTGCAAGCCATCAAGCGCTTGATTACTGGCGAAAGCTCTGGGTCACTATCATACCCTGCTGAGATCTGATTCGCAATTCCTTGATTCACATCCAGAGAGAACTCGATTCCATTCAGTTCCAAGTCTGGTCGACGTGACAACGGGTCTGCTATGTTACACTTCCCTGGCTTGTGATGTACCGTGTAGTCATAGTCGGCCAGGAATTCAATCCATCGAGCCTCTCTCTTTGTTAAGTTTGGTTTGGTCCTGAGGTAGACAACTCCCATGTTGTCGGTGTAGAGTTGAAAGTGGCGAAATAGGTAGACTCGCCAGCACTGCAGGGCGTACACTACAGCCAAAGTTTCTCGCTCGGCGGCCGTGTAATTCCGTTCGGCAGAAGACAGCTTTCGGCTCACGTAAGCCACAGGATGCCAGGACTGGTCCTCTGCTTGCTGCGTTAAGACTCCTGCCACAGCAAAGTCACTTGCGTCAGTCTCAACGCGGAAATCCTGACTGACGTTTGCTAGTCGCAACACTGGTGCATCCAGCAGAGCAGACTTCAATCGCTCAAATGCCTCCTGTCGAGTCTGATTCCACTCGAAGCGCACATGTTTCCCTGTCAGTTCCTCCAGGGGTTTGGAGATGGCCGAGAAATGGTTAATGAACCTTCGAAAGTAATTAGCGAATCCCAGAAACTGTCTTACGTGCGTGACCGTCGTCGGGACAGGCCAGTTATGCACGGCCTTGATCTTCTCTGGATCTGGAGAAATGCATTGGCCGTCTATCCGGTGCCCAAGAAACAGAACGTCTGTCCGGCCGAATTCACATTTAGACGGTTTGCAATATAGCTCATTCCTCCTGCGGGCGTTTAAGATGGTTCTGACATGATCGAGGTGCTCCCCCCATGATTTGCTGAATATGAGGATATCGTCTAGAAACACCACAACGAATTTACGCAGGTATGGCTGGAGGACACTGTTCATCAAGGTTTGGAATGTTGCCGGGGCGTTTGTTAGGCCGAAACCCATCACTGTGAACTGAAAGTGACCGAATGGGGTATTTGTTGCTGTCTTCGGAATATTTGTTTCTTCTATTCGAATCTCATTGTAACCGGACCTCAGATCTAGCTTGGTGAAATACGCACTGCCTTGGACGGTATCAAAGAGGTCGTCAATATTCGGTAGGCATGCCTTGTTCTTAATGGTTATGCGGTTTAGCTCACGCCAGTCGCATACCATTCGAAGTGTTCCATCCGCCTTCTTTACGAAGAACACAGGGGCTCCGTATGGGGATTTGCTGGGCTGCATGAATCCTCTACGGAGCAGCTCGGTGAGCTGAGCTTGAAGCTCATCCATCTCTGGTTTTGGTAAACGATATGCTGCACGAGATGGCGGTTTAGCTCCTTCTTCCGTTTTTATCTCGTGATCTGCGCCTCTTCTGGGTGGCAGCTTGTTTGGAAGCTCATCGGGAAAGACGTCCCCGAACTCCTTCAGCAGGTCCTTGAAATCCTTCTGATCCTCCCTACCCGGACTATCCACCGTCTGTGGCTCGTCTGGATCTGCTGTCACATACGCTAGGATTCCTTCTGCGCCACCTCTCATTGCATGCCTAGCCTGCTTCCCTGAGATGAGGAACGTCTCGATCGGTGGGTTGGATTTGTCCGTGCCATCACTTTCACTCGGTTGACAGATGATAGATCCACCCTCCAGCTTGATTTCATTGGTACGAAAATTGATCTGTGGGTTCGTCCGGGTCAGCCATGGTTTGCCGAGGATCACGTCATACCGCGTCATAGGGAATACTAGGAACTGTTGGTGCTCGCTAAAGTCGCCGACTACGGTCTTCAAGCTGTCCGTTTTCGTAATAGGCTGTGAGCGGACCGATCCATCAGCAAGTGTGACGTTCAGGACGTCGCTACCGGTTGTTGTGGAGATGTTGTGCTTCTTGACAAGGTCAGTTGAAATGAAGTCGTGGGTTGACCCAGAATCCAGTAGCATGGTAACGCGACGTCCATTTATCTTGCCCTGGACGCGCATTAGGTCGTGTTCGTTGTCGGCGGAAATGCTCCCTGTGCTGGCGGTTACTTCATTAGGCCGGCCAACAGTATGAGGTGACGAATGCTTGACAGGCGAGGCTTGAATTTCGGTCTCCTCGAGGCGTGGTTCCTCATTTGCTAAGGGGCTGAATTTGTTCTGAACTTTGATTCGTGGCCTATTCCTGGGTGCTCTCGTGTTCGCCAGTAGTCGCACTCCCTTCCTTACTGGCGTCCATCGTTTAAAGAAGGCTTGCTTGTGGCGTTCCTCCCTCCTTCTGGACAGAATCTGGCAATATGGCCGGGTTTCCTGCAGGTGAAACACAGCCTTGAACGACCCTCTGGCTCCCTGGTTTCTCTCCCACCGGATGGTGTTGGTTGGCTTGACCAGGGTCCAGGCTGGCGCCTCTGATGCCCTGGTGCGCGCACTGCCTTGGCGTAGCTTGCTTGGGCTAGCCGCATCGATTGGTCTGCTGAGACCGCAGCTCGTATGGCTTGGGCCAAATGTTGCGGATGCTCCCTAAGTACCTCACCGCTTAGGCCCTGAGCCAGCCCACGCGTGAACAAGATAGCTCTGGAGTGGTCATCAAGCTCGGGAACTTGTAAGCTAAGCCGCGAAAATTTGTTGATGTATTCGTCAAGAGTCTCATCTTGGTGAAGAGCGAATAAGTCGATGCGCGCCTGTTCCCTGTCATAAACCGGGCCGTACACTTCTCCCAGCTTGCTCTTCAGGTCTGGCCAGTCGGAAAACAGCGTGTTTGCCTCCTGAGAGGCGATAAACCAAAGACGAGCGTTGCCCTCCAGAAAACTCGCCGCGTAGCTCAAGCGCTCCTCCGCGTTGTCCAGCTGCAGGGACTTCATGGCGAGTTCGATGGCGAAGGCCCACTCCTTGAACTCTCTTGTATCTCCACGAAACACAGGCGGAGACTTAACATGGCGCATGCGTGGCCTCTCTCCGCTGGGAGCTTGAGCACGTCTTGGCGTTTGATCTGATCCATCGCACTGACCGAGTGAGATAAGGTGATTCAGACGCTTCTGAATCTCGAATATACCGTAGGCGACTAATGCGGCCACTGCGCATAGCCCGAACATGACGAAAAGAAAAACCATCCTCTTACTACCAGTGTAACAGTCCAACTAACTTCAGTAGTCATTCTTGGAATAAGCAATGATCCTTGCCATAATGCATTCTTATATACATGAACAAGCAATGATGGACATAACACCTAACAGCAGCAGCGTGATAATAGCAGGTGATAAGTGTATCCTATTCCTAGTGTTAGTAGTAACAGTGAATCTGTTACAGTCATAATACAACGCTCCGGGGCGCCCAGCTGTGGAACACCTTACCCAGCAATATATGTGCCATCTCCACGCTCCGCCAGTTCCACGCCAGCATGATCCCGCACACCCTTAGTACCTAGTGTACCAAACGTCCTGTTTGATGATCAGCTGGCTTAGCTTCTCTCCACCTCTATCCTTATTACATCCCTCCCCAATTTCATTTATTACTGCTTTCTATCTGCATTCGCCACCTTTTCATTGAGCAGATCTGCCCGTTTGGTTAGCGAATTAAAATATACACAACAACCCAAGAGTGGGGTAGTCAAGCTGGTATCAGATGAGAGGCTACAAAGTTTACTCTTCGAATACAATGTACGTGTGAGGATGGATTAACCCATGACCTCTTCCGTGACACACAGTACGAGGTGAAGTTATCGGACGCTCTGATTTACACTAATGGTTCCATAATTATAAGTAAGCAGAGTTACTCTGACCTAAAAATGTTACATGCACACTACCTTCCTCTTCTACATTGCAATGGTGACGACAGGGTTCAAATCATCATAGTCGGCCTCATGACGCGTGCGTTTGGTCTCCGACTCGTCACGAAAGCTGCGATCACGCAATTTGAAGGTGCCATCTGCGGCCACATTGATGGTGTTCATCTCGACGTTGACCTTCGTGATGCTCATGGCCACGGCCTTCAGTTTCATCGGGGGCGACTCCACGAGTTTTATATCCGACAAACGAATGCAAAATTAATGCTGACGTTGATCATGTTGATGATTCTCATAAATTCAGGCACGTCAATTTCTTCTGTTTCTTGAAATACGTTCTGGATGTGTGTTGTAATTCTCTCATCAACATACTGGGTGGCCCGGACGTAATTCTCCTTGGGTTCCAGCATGAGATGCAATAGCACGGAATCATAGGCTTCGCTGCGATCACCGAAGTCGGTTACATCAACATCTTGTGGTAGGAGAATTGGACATTGACCAGCACTAAACTTGCCGTTACTTATTCGAATCAGAAACTCTCCAATGGCGCTTGGTGTCATATCTTGACAACTAGCCAATCCATCGTCAAGAATTTCCTCCAACCCGTGGCTCGGTGTGAAGCACTGTATTTGCCTGATCCCAATCTGCCGCTCTGATGACACACGGAATAAATGGAATACATTCCTGTATTGTGGCTGCTGGGGTTGGTGTGAGGGCAGGTCCTCCTCATCAACCGGTGGGATAAACGGCGTGTCAGTTGTCGACCAACGGATTGGTGTGCTACATCTGGAGCTACTCATACTGGTTGATAAAGGGACTACAGTTGAATGAGTGACTAATCCTCTATGTATTCAGACATAATGTCAATACATTGATGAGGTCTCCGACGGCGAAAACTCACATCATGTGTCTCAGGTACTTTTGTACTACATACAACTGGGGATAGCGTGGGCGCAATCCGAAAATCTGCTATGATTATGCTGATCAGTTGCATACGCGCAGTAAGTTTCTGCCAGGGAGTGCTTTTATTATTACTCCGCTGCTCGTTAGAACCGGGCTGCAAACGAACAACTGGGACACTGCACCACGTGCTGTAAGTTTTTGCTGTCGGCGACACGACGATAAATGTTCTGGGTGAGATGAAAGAAGCAGCAGTGTATTGCCACGCTGAAACTTACCCGTCCTGCCGAGGATCAAGCCGCATTTTCCCACTTTTGTCCACTCTCGGCGAAATGGGCTGTCTGTGAACAAGTCAGTCTGTGAACTGGGTTTTCGTTGGATTGGGTGTCGGTGAATAGTGCATTCTGTGAGACTGGCACTCTGTGAAGTGTCATTCTGTGAGTTGGGAATCTGTGAAACGTCACACGGTGAAATTGGATTCTGTGAACTGTCTCATAACCCAGGAGTTGTGGGGTGATGTTAACCTTTTGAGTCCGGGCCCATTGAAAACCTCTGCCACGCAGTACAAAAATGACAAAATTTTAAATTCACTCTATGTGAGCAAACTTGATTTCAAACGATTCTTTCATGTATCCTGAGCACAGAACTGTTTTTGTTTTGGAAATACAACAAAAATTACAAAAGTTATGACCGTTTTCAGAAAGGTAGTTTTACGCTAATTTGGCGTTATATTTACAATATATACAGTATGTACATGATAACAGTGAACTGCTGTGCTCCTTTGCTCCAGCACCATCAAATTTGGCCATAGTCATACTCGGTGTGGTAGATTCCAAAGCAAGGCACTGAACACAGGCCTGGCTGCCCCGGACATGACATGCAGCACTCGCGGCTCTCCCTGCGCCTGCCTCTCGCCCAGCAAACGACGCACCGCTTCAGCGGCTTTTCCTTCTTGGGTGTTGGTGGGACAAATGCTGGATGGTGACGTCCAGTCAACCTGCTTGGGCTTTGGTGGTGAGTCTGTGTGCGAGTCGGTGCTGCTGCAACAACATCAGGATGGCGTCCTGGGGCAGCTGGGCATACTTGGGCTGGCTCCGCAATCTCTGCCGCTGCTGGTAGCGGTTCAACTACTGCTGCTGCTGTCGCTGCTGCCGGATGAGGTTCCGTTGGCTCAGCTGGAGCTGGTCCGGATGCTGTTGCTGTTGGTACTGCTGCTGGTGCTTCTGCTGCTGCAGGTGCTGCTGCTGCTGCTGCCGCTGTTGGCGCTGCTGCTGCAGGTGCTGCTGCTGCCGCTGTTGGCGCTGCCGCTGTTGGTGCTGCTGCATCTAGATGTCGTCCCTTGACACCTTCGGCCAACAGCTCACTCATCGCAATTCGAATAAAATCATAGTGTTTTCGCTTGCCGCCAGCTTTCTGGTACAAGATGAACGCGTTCAGTAGCCCTTCCTCCAGGATATGTGTGCCGAGCTTTTTGTACCACTTGGTGGATTTGCGTGCAGCAGTGTAGTTTGAGAGCATGGCGTCGTTCCGGTCCACACCACCCATGTACCGGTTGTAGTCATGGACTACCTGTAGCTTCTTGACAGCCTTTCCTTCTCGATCACGCTTGCCAGTTGGCACAGCATTGGCACGGTGCAAAGTGGAGAGGAACATGACTTCCTTTGTGTCCTGAAGCTTTACGACAAGCGCTCCTTGCGAGCTACGGTAAGTGTATTCTGATTTCTTCAGCTGCTTATAGCCAGTCAGTCGCTTCGGCAAACCAACCCGGTTTTTGCGGATGGTGCCGCATACACCGGTCTGGTGCTGACTGAGGTACTTGGCGAGTGGCAGGCTGGAATACCAATTGTCCACATACAGGTGGTGTCCCTGATTCTCAAGTGGAATCATCAGCTTCGCGACGACAGCGCCCGATGCTCCCAGCTGCTTCACCATGTCCGGGCTGAGATTGACATTATCTTTGCCGACGTACACAATGAAGTTATACATATATCCAGAATCCTCGCACAGGGCAAAAATCTTGATACCAAATCGAGCACGCTTAGATGGAATAAATTGGCGAAAGCTCAGTCGGCCCTTCCACGCCACCAATTCCTCGTCGATGCAGATGGTTTTGCGTGGCGTGTACACTGCCTGAAAACGATCGATAAACAGATCTAACAGGCGGCGAATTTTCCGTAGCTTGTCAGCTTCGTCCGGTGCAGCGTTGTCCGAGAAATGCAGAAACATGAGGATACTCATGAATCTGTCCCGCTTCATGGCAGCCGAGAACGATGGCGTGGAAATCAGTGCATCCTTACTCCAGTACTGGTCCAGTGCTGGCTTCCAGAGAATGCCTGTCGTCAGATAGAGCGCCAGGAAGATCTTCATTTCGGACATGGTCACCGGCTTCCAGCTCCGAGCAAGGGCGCGCGGTGCCAGGGTTTCCAGATTAGCGTCTATGTACCGTCGGGCAAAGCGATTGGTCTCGTCAACAAGTAGACTCCACATAGCATCGGTGAAGTACAAGCGCACATACTCGTATGGAGTCGCATCGTCAGGCATTTCCACTTGCATGCCAGGTGTACCAGTGAACTGAGGTAGCAGAGGTGTGTTATCTTCTTTTTTCCAAATACCTACATGTGTGGCACATATGTAAAGAGATACCTAAATATACCATAGTATAGTCTGTAGCCAGTACACGCATTGCACATCAAGTCGTGATAATTTCAAATTTTCAAATTTTCACATTGCAAATATTTATTCTCCAAGTCGTCAAATTTATTCTTACCTTCAGAACCATCGTCATGGGCGCTCAGATTCTCGGTGGCAAGGACATGGCTCTTGCATGAAAGGTCCTCGTCGCTCTCAATCTCCCCGCTCGCGGCACTGGCAGCGCCGTCACCTACGTCGTGTTGATCGCGCTCGTCGCCGTGCGTCACACCAATATCGTCAGGCGAACCAGGTATCGATACGAGATCCGGGAGCGACTCCTCGTCACTCCCGTCGCCAGAATCGAAGCTATCATCCCCTGACCACGGCTCGACATCGCTGTCAGGGTCCATGAAAACCTCCTGGAGGGCCTCTTCCGCGGCAAACCTACGACGAGCCATCTCTACAGATCGGCCAAATTTCAATTTTTTGAAATGTATGCACGCGCATGTAACTCCAGTTCAAACTTACGGAGCGACTCGCAGTTTTTTTTATACTGTACTCGTACATACTAGGAGTCCACTGTGCAGCGGTACAGCTTAGATCGACGCCACGGAAGAACAGCATAATCGATGTAGTACCGTACAGACTCGTGACGTTCTAGAACGTCACGCGTGTCACAGTGGCAGTGGTCATGACGTGTCAGAACGTCACGCGTGCTCAAAGGGTTAATAGCACGAATCGATTCATGAATCGATACGTGAATCGATTTGCGCGCATGATCGAAGAGCTTCTATCAATGAATTAAATAAATATGACAGTCAATTTGTTCTTCAGTCTTTTTTCCGTTTGTGTCTTTCCCTCAAACTAGTCAAGATAAATTTAAATATAAACATATCTGTGTTTAATGTTTGCGCGGAAGGGATTGAGCACTCGACACTCACGTATTTTCAGAGTCATGCACACACATGATGAAGTCTGATGTGATCGATGTATTGGGTAGCTGAATGTTTGTTGAACAGAGCAGCGGCAAACATCTGACAGTTGCTTGTTGACAAGTTGTAAGTGTCCTTAACGAGATGCGAGTCATAGAGGAAATCTACCATCATTGCTGACAAATCCAATCTAATCTGCAGAATGATTCTACAGATTTAGATTGCATTTGTCAGCAATAATCTCCTCTATTGGAGTTTTTTTTATCGGTATTTCGACAGGAAGATCTCATGCTTGAACAAGTCTTGCCTCTACATATGCTAACACCATCGGTGTTCCTTTCCGATGACCACCACCAGTAACTCGTTTGAAAGATAATGAAAGCGTGGAAAGCCATCAAATCCGTCGGTTGATGGTACCATAATAGGAGTTTCACAAATACCAGCCCAGTTGATGGTCTCTTCTCCTACACACCAATTTTTTTTAGAGATTACTTCACAGCAAGGTCAAAGATCATGCCACGATGACCTTTGAGAACACGTTCTGTCTCAAACAAGGTCAAAGGTCACGTCACGAGGAGGTGACGACCTCGGAGAACACGATATGTTTCGAAAGTGGAAAGACGCTCCCGTCATGGTGTGTCTTTTGAGTTCGGGTTTGGAATCTTTCGACTCCGATATCAGATTGACATGTGAATCTCTTTCTTCCATTGAAAGGTCGATGTGATGGAGAATTTTCTTGCTTTCCGCTCATATAATTCTTTCTCTCATAGTACTTGGTTTTTTATATATTTTCAGTGGTGGAAATACGTGCAGCACACAGACCATTGGTGCACACATCATGGAGTGTACATTGACGTCACAGTGAATTGTAGGATGCACAATGTACCACACAAACACACACACACACTGAACTGTACTGTGCTTGCTCACTGCCAATATTGATCACGTGGGTCTCCCCGGTAGAGGGGAGAGAGGAACTCTAAAGGAATCTTGGAAAGAGGACTCAACTGGCTGTTGAACCGCCCAACGGCCGATACCCCTGAAATCCCCAACTATGGGTGGACTTGCAAATGATCCCACTTACGGGCTCACCGCACCTCAGTACAGGCAACCACCATCAAGGGGCACTGTGTGGCCCTTCGACAGTTACAGTCTTGGAAGGGTGTTGTCGCTGATTTGTAGTTGCTGTGAGAATGTGTTTGTTGTTGGCATTGATAATGCTTCGGACGTTTTGCATTCAGCTATAACTGACCTTTACTGTGTTCCTGTTGATTACTTTGTTCAGTGGTGAGCCTTTCGGGAAGTGTTTATCAATGAGACATAGGAATTTTCCCTTCACATTTGTGTGTACGTTTTTGCTGAACGAAGGGTTCAACCACGTGATGTTGCGCTGATGGTTTAATCTGGCCGCCCCTCTCTAAAATGAGGCGCTCCACGCCAGTGGATATGAGGAGGAGGTTGAAAATAGAGGCGAACGGAAAGAAGGGCGGGCAAGAAGAGGAGAAACCGCATCCACAAACGGAATATGTGATTTCAGGGTGCATGCATCTGCATGAGCGTGAAAACACTCATACATCAAATTTCATTGATTAAGAATGCTGACATGATGAATGGCTGGTGCCATGACACCTCAGTGCATACCAATTGGGAAATCATTCAAGTCTATTTCTCATTCACCATAAAGCTGATGAAACGGGACGAAGGAACCTGTACGGGTGGCTGGGGTGACCTGTAGACGGTCTTACTATCCGTACAGCAGGGCACGCACTAAGGATTAAAATGTGCTCTGACACATTGTCCTACCAGTTGCAAAAATGGCCGGACATGCAAATTTTCACATCAAATTACACAATGTTCAGTGTAGAATTAATACCATCGAATTGGTATCCCGACGTGAAAAGAGTCCGACCTTGGCTGCTGCTGCGTCGTCAAGTTTGCACAAGGCTCGAGCTATTGGCGCATAATCTATTGGGTTTCCACTTGACTGCTCCTTGTCAAACAATGCCATGGCATGGCGATGCATTTCAGAAGCAGCATGATCTTTGAAGGCTGGTGTTTTCAGGTTCCTTGAGCCAACGACGAAGGAGCCAGAAACATTCTTGCTGCTGCGAATTTTATCAACAAAACGAGAGCAAATCTCACACTTCAAATGTTCTACAACGCTATGATCTGAGGGACTGCGCTCACACTCATAGCTCAGCCAAACAGAAGTTGAAAGCTCCCTATCACGGTATATAGTGGTCGTCTTCACTCCTCTAGGCTTCTTTCCAAGAGGAGCACCCGCATCAGCGGTGCTTGGCTTTCTCTTGCCAGACGACATCACTAATGACTACTTCCTCCGCGTCATCGAAATTGTCGCAGTTTGACTTTTGATATAAAATGGGGTATTTACTCACCAGCACTCGTACCAGAGGCAAGGAATCGGACATAGGCGATAATCATCAGTATAGGGTGACGGCAAAGTTCAAAGTTCTATTTTCTGTTATTGGAAGCTAGAATTTTTGAACTAGACGCAATTTCTTCCCTGATGTCGCTGCGATGGTAATTTCGACTCGCTGAGATCAGTCAGCTGTTGCAGCCTGCACATTTCTCGTGCTTATGGCCATTCACTCAAGCCTCATCACTGTTTTACCTTAGCTGGGGCTAGAATGACTTCGTGGAACAAGTGGCAGCGCTTGGAGAAACATCGAGGGGTCAGCAAACTAAATGCCTCCAACAGCGATAAAATTTGTCGCTCTGGCTGAGACACTCAGTACATTATTGTACCTGCAAGAGCCGTGTAGACTCTACAAGTAGTGCTAGTGATGCACGCGCAGGTGCCGTACCATGGTATACCAGTGATGGTGAAAAAGACGTTGCGCTGGACGTGATAGTACACTTACCTGCATGAGCTGTTACCACACAGCTAAAATAAATGGGCATGCCACGGCTAAAAAAAGTTCATTTCAAGATCGAGGTGATTCCGCCGACGGTAATCAACCGACCTCGCAACGATCGTGTATTCTTCTTAGGCTTCGTTGGTGGTGAAGTAGAAATCATCCAGAGCTAGCAGACGACAAGCATAGCAGCTCTTGTCCTGTGGAGAAAGTCAAAGCGCTTGAGATGAGGCGCGACCAACTACGTTACTTTCAACCTTCCTTGAAATATTTCGGAACGATATTTTTGCGTCCATTGACATCAGCGACGACGAGGACTTCATCTCTGCATGAAAACTCTCAGTCCAACTGTCCTGGGACGCTACTCTAGTCTTCAGACTATCATACTGTGTAATAAGGTTTGAATGGCTTAGCCTATGGAGTTGTCAGTAACAAGTGACAAGTCACTAGTCAAACTGCGACAATTTCGATGACGCGGAGGAAGTATGAGAAAAAGGATTGACGTGCCTTTTCTTTTTGTTCTTTGCAAAAAAGTGCGCGGACACTTTGTCCGGATGTGTACAAAACATCCAAAAACTGACCGTAAACGGTCGGAAATTGTCCGATGTCCGACCTTTATTTCGCGCCCTGGTACAGTATGACATTAAGCAGCTATTGCTATAGCCAACATAACTCATCCCGAGGCACCCCTTCGAATGTCAACTAGGCAAAACTCACCTAAATAAGTACGAAGTGCTGGCATAGTTGATTTGGCTTCGGGTGTTCCTGGTTCCAGCTTTGTGGCTCTGACTGCTGTGAACTTGACGGGTTCCGTTTGCTCAATATCAATACTGGAGAGCATTTCTGGTCATGTGACAAAATGAATACGAAGAACGAAGAAAGAAAACCGCAACAATCATGACAACGTCATAATACAATGCTTCAGAGAGCTCCCTGGCATCGCCAGGACTCGAAGCAGGGAACCCTACCTTTGCACTAGTGTTTCATGATTTCCTTGATACCAATGGCTGCCCCGATACCAATGTCTTACTTAACCCATACAATTATCTTCATGGTGAGAAAGGAAAGACATAACGGTGTACTTCAACTTTCTAGGTAGCCACCATCACCTGCTACCTGGAGACTTGGATCGCTTGAAAAATATATATCCTGAATTGAACGAGTCTTCTTCAGCGTTCTGTCAAGTGCTATTGGGACTGTGTCTGCTTCAAACTAATGTTCTTTGTAGATTTTTGCACGTTGTCATTGATGAGTGCGAGGGCACAGCGGCCGCTGAAAAAGCGTGCTGGTGCAGAGCGCTGTTCATTTTTTCTTTTCTTGCCCGACAGAAAGTTGCCAGTCTCGGCCAAAAATTTCGATTCTTTTGTAATAATTGTCAGAAACAGAATGGATACCCGGGTCGACGTGGCGGTGCTGCAAGCGCCGTGCAGTTGGCCTCTGGCAGAGGCAGAGGAAGTGGTAGGAGGAGAGGTACCCGTGACTTGTCTGTGTTCGAGTTCCCCAGCTCCGACATAGTTAGTAACACCTCGTCGTAATACGAGACTGCAGTCGAAGAGCAAGTCCCCGCGAAGTTGAAACGCAGGCTCCGGTGTCACCTATAAATAGAATGCAGCATTCCCAGCTCATGGCGGAGAGGGAGCTGCTGGGGATGAAAATCCGGATCCTGAAAAGGAGTGTCGGCGAGCTGACAGCCCGTGGCAGGTCCCTGAAAAGGAAAAGACCAAGGGATTCAGCAGAGTCAGGGTCGTCATCATCATCATCGTCACGATCTCCCTTCTCGGATTCGTCACGATCCCGGTCGAGGTCGCCAAAGCGGAAAGCAAGGTCCCGGCGACGTCGTGAGCTGGAAAGCTGGAAAACGACAAGCTACGCCAAACAATTTGAGCTGAATGCCGAGCTCCTGGATCTGCTGCACGATGTGTGGTCGGCAAAATCCAAGACCAGGAGAAGGATGGTAGCGAAAAATAGGTGAGAGGCTGCTGAAGGAGAGGCAAGAGTGGCTTGTGATTGCAGAGAAGCATGGCCATCAGGTGGCAACGTCCTTCCAGGAAGGCGATCAGCTTATGGCATTAGTTGGGGGAGCCAAAAAGCAGAAACGTTTGCAGGCTGCGATCCAGCCTGAAGGGTCAAAGAAGAAGGTAGCCGGGGTGGTGCAGGGCCCAAACATGCCAAACCAAACCAATTACCATGCAGGGGGCTGTGATGCCGCTTAGCCACCCACCTTTACCTATGCATGCGCCAATGAGCGATTTCTGTTCAGGGGTGTGCCTCCAGTGTGGGCAGCCGTGTCATTATGTCAAGTTCTGTCCCCAGCGGGCTAACACCGCAGGCCAACCAGGTCAGCAAGCCGTGCCACATTGACATGACTGTGGGCTGGGAGGTCTCATGTTGTTAGAATTGCTAGGCAAAAGTATTTGCAGAATTTACTGCGGATTGTTATTTTTCTCTAATTTCATCCACTTTTGGTTTGCTCCTTCTTTTCTTTTTATCTCCTTATACTGTAAATCAACAAATTTTGGCTGATCAGAAACTTTGGCCGATCTCGAAACGAAACTTTTCACCGTCATTAAACTTTGGCCGATTGGAGTTTTGAAAAAGAAAAGAAGGAGCAAACCAAAAGTGGACGAAATTAGAGAAAATAACTATTTTGGAGTCGACGGGATGTCTGTCCTGACGTTTCCTGGGACCGGCGCTGACTCTGCCGATCACGGGCGTTCTGGAGTCGACGGGATCTCTCTTCCGACGTTTCCTGTGACCGGCGCTGAATCGCCCGTTCTCGCTTATTTTGGAGACGACGGGATCTCTTTTCCAAAGTATGTTATTGCTGACGCATCCTATCACCTATTCGGCAACTAACGTCCATTCTAATTTCATTTCCTCCTTGTCTCCCTATTTCTTTCCAAATCTCCCTATACATCAGGGAGTCGTATACATAATACGACGAATATTGTGGCCAGCTGTTTGCGGCCAGCTAGCTGTGTTTGATGGAACCGTACGGGACAGATACGAGAGCCAGCAAATATTGTGGCCAGCTGGTATGTACAGTCCTGCAGAGCCTTTGTAGTCACAGATACGGGACAGATACGGGACAGATACGGGACAGATACGGGGCAGATACGGGACAGATACGGGACAGATACGGGACAGATACGGGACAGATACGGGACAGATACGGGACAGATACGGGACAGATACGGGACATACGGGACAGATACGGGACAGATACGGGACAGATACGGGACAGATACGGGACAGATACGGGACAGATACGGGACAGATACGGGACAGATACGGGACAGATACGGGATAGCTCCAGGCGTGACACAAACACACAAACAAACAAACACACAAATACCGCATTAAAGCTGTGTGGACCCTGGCTAGCGCCAGACGTTACTGAAGTAAAGTCTTCTGCATAGCTACGGGAATAAATATATACTACCCCATTTTTGGGGTAGTCAAGCTTGAACCCAACAGAGTTGAACCATGTGATGTTGCGCTGATGGTTTAATCTGTCCGCCCCTCTCTACAATGAGGCGCTCCACGCCAGTGGATATGAGGAGGAGGTTGAATATAAAAGCGAACGGAAAGAAGGGCGGGGCAAGAAGAGGAGAAACCGCATCCACAAACAGAATAATGTGATTTCAGGGTGCATGCATATGCATGAGCGTGAAAACACTCATACATCAAAATTCCATTGATTAAGAATGCTGACATGATGAATGGCTCGTGCCATGACACCTCAGTGCATACCAATTGGGAAATCATTCAAGTCTACTTCTCATTCACCATAAAGCTGATGAAACGGGATGAAGGAACCTGTACGAGTGGCTGGGGTGACCTGTAGACGGTCTTACTATCCGTACAGTATGACATGCAGCAGCTATTGCTATAGCCAACCTAGCTCATCACGAGGTACCCCTTAGAATGTCAACTAGACAAAACTCACCTGAATAAGTACGAAGTGCTGGCATAGTTGATTCGGTTTCGGTTGTTCCTAGTTCCAGTTGTTCTAACTGCTGTCCAAGTGGCCATGGATTTGTTGCAGTAAGGCTGGATGGAGACACTGCATATCCTGCTGACGCAGCTGCTGCTTTTGTTTCTTCCTTTGTTGGCATGGTCACAGGTGGGTCTGCTCTGACTGCTGTGAACTTGACGGGTTCCGTTTGATCATTATCAACACTGGAGAGCATTTCTGGTCATGTGACAAAATGAATACAAAGAACGAAAAAAGAAAACCGCAACAATCATGACAACGTCATAATACAATGCTTCAGAGAGCTCACTGGCATCGCCAGGACTCGAAGCAGGAAACCCTACCCTTGCACTAGTGTTTCATGATTTCCTTGATACCAATGGCTGCCCCGATACCAATGTCTTACTTAACCCATGCAATTATCATCATGGTGAGAAAGGTATGACATAACGGCGTACTTCAAGTTTCTATGTAACCACCATGACCTGCTACCTGGAGACTTGGATCGCTTGAAAAATAAATATCCTGAATTGAACGAGTCTTCTTCAGCCCCGGCGGAGGCACAACCCTGAGGAAAAACCGGTTAGAATAACCCCATAAGATAAATGAACAAAACGTAGCCTGCAGAACCTATCCCGAAGTGAGAATAAACATGAGGGCGTGTGGGAAACTACAACGAAAAGAGAAAGACCACAATGAAGAGAAAAGTTTGAGAACACTGACAAAAAACCAGCTAACGCAATCCTGGTGCCGTAACTATGATGAAAATGCTGGCAAAAAATACATTTTTCGTTTCATTCGCTACGCTCAGCCAACGAATAATAACACATTATTTTTCTTCTTGCCAGACAGAAAGTTGCCCACCCACCCACCATGCTGTTCTGTTAATGCCATACGTCAAACCGTCATTCCTACAAATGCTACTGCTGCTGATTCTGCGTATAATGATTGTGCTTCATATGCACTGGCAGTATGGCCGCTGTTACGAGTAGAATGCTGTTGCAGGTGTGGCTGACCCTGGCTAGCTGTGGCACATGCTTTAGTTGCTTATGGGTCCATAGGGATGCTGCTGCTGGTTGTTCTTTGCTTGCTGTTGCGAAAGCCAGTTGTCTGATGCCGTTGCTGTTCCGAGTTTTCACAAACCGTTTTCTTTGGCAAGAAGACCTTGTGCAGTAAGCCTGCACACTGCATTTCCTTGATACCAATGTCTGCCCCAATACCAATGTCTTCTCTAACCCATACAATTATCTTCATGGTGAGAAAGGAAAGACGTGACAGCATACCTCAAGTTGCTAGGTAGCCACAATCACCTGCTACCTGGAGACTTGGATCGCTTGAAAAATAAATATCCTCAATTGAACGAGTCTTCTTCAGCCTTTTGTCAAGTGCTATTGGGAGTGAGTCTGCTTCAAACTCTGACGAAGATGCCGACCTCAGCTGCAGGAGCAGTGCAGGAAGAGGCCACATTTCAAGCAATTGTGAATGCCTTGTACCATACTGTCACGTTCAACAGGGTCATTGTGGAGACTGCCATTGAGGTACTCGGCAAGAAAGCCGCACCACCTATATGTGTACAAAAGGTTCGCAACGCGTTCGATTGGGGACCCGTTTGTCGCAGCTTCTTCGGACCAAGACCATTTGACTCGGCGTTACAAACACTACGTTCCCTGTAATTTTCAGCTCGACAAATCTTGATGTGTTCCGCATGGAATAGTCGAGCCTTATTTATGCTACGACGATGCGTCCACAACCGTGACAAGTGATAAAACAGCGAACAGTTCCCGGACCTAAAGCTTTCAGATGCCGTAATGTTGTGAGCCTTGAATAGAAAAGTCATGCCAGTGGTTCAAAAAGCCTGCACTGTTCGTCAATCGAGCACAGTCCGAAATACGCCAAGTGCTAGTTTGCACCAAAAATCGCTATGCGGCAGGCCGCTGGAGTCCAAGCGAGTCAGCATTGAACACCATTCAGAGCCCTCGCATTACTCTTCTACATTTTGACGACTCTGCTCTCCAGAGATCTGATAATAATATTATATCAGCCCCATCTGCAATAGCTGAAGCTTCATCAATCGCAAACGCGGCAGTTCTCACTCTTGACAGGCCCGCGCGGCCATTTATTCTGCAGAATACTGAAATTCTCAGCCCCAGGCCGAACTCATGAAGGTCGGCCATGGCTGCATCCTCACTCTCACATGGAGTTACGTAGTCAGGGTCGCTTGCACCACCTACTATCGGTCACCAAATCGTTTGAAATAGCATTGCCACTATTGCTTTCACGCACTTCTTTTGACTTAGCCCCACTCTATGACGTTGCAGAGGGGGTGTATCGACTGTCGGGGCCGCATGATGTCATGATGCCGCACCCGAAACTCAATTTTTCAAACGGAAATATCTCAAGAATGCTTTGTCAGAGACATGTGGGACTAACACCCCAATTTCTATGGACACTGAAATTTAAACACCGTAAAGTTTTGTTTTAAAGGGCGCACTTGAATAGAAGCCGCCCTCGAATAGAAGCCGCAATTTTGGGCCCATCAAATCACACATAAGCCTGTTTATAGTGTTGACATACATAGAAATACCTGTCTTGTATAGAAGCCTGCCTCATATAGAAGCCATTCAAAATTTCACCAAGAAAGTCATAGAAGCCGCGGCTTTTATTCAAGACTTTACAGTATTCACCAAACTTCCCCTTTTAAACCCTTTACCGGTCTACCATGAACGTACCGATACTATAGTATCGGTATGTTTGGCCCCCATTTTGGGTTTTTTGTTGTTAGGAGACAAGGTGTGTGTGTGTGCGTACGGGCGGGCGTGTGTGTGTGGGGGGGGGGGGGGTGTGTGTGGGTGTGGGTGTGTGTGTGTCAGCCAGTTCAGCTGTTGTGTGCACTTATTCCAAAATAAGGTATTGGTATACGCATCATGATCAGCACCTGGCTATTGTGGAATTATCCACCACCAGACGAGCTCAAGGATATAAGTTAGACTATATTACTTCCTCCGTTAAAAGCAAAACTTTGTTGCATTTTTACAGTTCAGACCAAATCATTCTATGGCTACGAACACGCCTTGCAAAGTGGAAACAAGGCAGGATATGAAAGATAGTTATTTTCAGATGTCACACACCTTGTTTCAAAGCAGTCCAGCTTCACTCTTTGTCTGAATCTGATGACGACTCACTCCCTGATGACATCGAGTCTGCATCCTCGCTGACTGTCGCCGCCAGCGCTGCCAGCTTTTGTTCCGCCGTCTTTACAAGTTTCCAAGACACGATTATTTTGATCATGGAGATCGCCAAGGTCTTCGCTCGAACTGTGAGCTTGACGACCTCCACAGTGGCGCTGGTAGTTGTGGCGACTCTCCGGAACGCCATGGAAGGAGCCATACAGACCCAAACAAATGCTCTCCATCTTCGCAGCGGTGTAGTCGTTCCAGCACGTTTCCACACCCTGCAGAAGCTCCTTTCTGGTTTCCTTCGCCACGAGTGGCACGTCTGTCTACAGGCTGTGGAAGAACGCCAAGTCGTCGACGCTGAGATCAGGATTTGCGCCGACAGAACAACAACCTGAATATCGAACGCTTTTGATTTCACCTGCGCTGCAAACACAAGTGCATGGATTTTAACTGTGTGCGGATGTGCACCAACGACTCGTGCTAGTACAGCAGTGCCTGAGCGCTGGCCGGCTCCTGGACACTTCTTCAAGCCACGCGGTCTTTCAAACTGGTTATAATTTTCGCACTTTGGTGTCATGCTTGCGAGCCTAGGGTTGTGTTCTGGTGACATCCTGTCGAGAAACAGTTCTGCTTCGCCGATTTTTTCAAAGGACTCCACGCTTTTCGGAGGTTCAAAAGCCTGTCAGAACAATGGACGACAACTCAACAACACTATATAGGGGAAAGATCACTGACATGTATGTCTAATGCCGACAGAAATATCATGACAAGAACACTAAAAACGCAATGAAGTTTTGCTTAGCGGAGGAAGTAATTTAATTCCAAAATGCACAAGAAGTTTACAGAAGAAAAGAACATGACCTCGACCAGGCCAGAAGCAAGAAGAACAGAACTACAAGATGTTGAAAAACCCTTCTCCTCAAAAGCTGCTTCATGTACAACGCAAAACACCTGGCTGCACCAGCTCGTGCACCAGCGCTGCACCAGCGATTGCACCAGCGTGTGCACCAGCGCAATCAGTATCCAAAGTACATATAAATCATAACATTACGTACAACATACGCAAGAGGGTTACTCTACTTCACCTCTCCCCCTGGTGGTATGCCAAACAAAATACTAAATAGCGCAACAAAGCAAAACTAACGAAAGCGCTGAGGGGGTGCAAGCGAACCATGCTGACGAAGGCCATATGGGCAAAACTGATACGGAAAAGGATCATCTGCAGGGGCTAGAAGCGGCACATCATTAGGATCACGGGGATCAAACCGAGACCCAGCATCAGGGACAGTACCCGCAGCAGGCACATCAGCAACAGCATCTGCAGCAGGCACATCAGCAACAGCATCTGCAGCAGGCACATCAGCAACAGCATCTGCAGCAGGCACATCAGCAACAGCATCTGCAGCAGGCACATCAGCAACAGCATCTGCAGCAGGCCCATCAGCAAACACCTCAGCACCAACATCAGGCTTCAGCAGTTCAACACTCACCACTTTCTCACCACCAGCAGCCTCATTGCGAATTACCACAGTAGAGGGGACACAATGTGATCTACCACCCACTCACGGTCATATGGCGCCTCACATTTCTGGCGACGATGGCAACGACGTAGAAGAACGGGATCACCAACGGCGAACAGACAGTTATCAGCTTCAGAATCAACAAAGTTCTTGGAGGACAGCTCAGCTTCCACAAAATCACGGATCCGGGCAGCCTGGCGCTCAAGATGAGAATAATGATGGAGTCAGGCCTAGCCCAGGAGTAGCCGAGAAGAGCACACCAGTGTACTCCCAGCAAAGCATCGTACGCATAGGAGAAATCTTGAGGACAGAGTGAGGACGAATGCGGTAGAAGTACAGTAACACGTCCTGTTCAGGTCGCCAATCATCAGCCTCATCCAACACCTTCCGAGTTAAGGTGAGGAGAGTGCGGTTAAATCGCAGATCCCTGCGATTGGGGATGACGCACGGCACCGTTTAGCACTGTCACATCAAACAGCGATGACATCACGGCCCAACCGCGTACACAGGCCGACAAATGCCT